GGCCATAGAGTTCGCGTCCAAGAAACTCTACAAAATGCTGTATGCCGCAATTTCGAGCTTCCGACAGATCACAAGCCTTTGCTGGCGATCTTTGGTCCGAAAAAGGGCATTACGGTCTACACAGCCGACCGGCTACAACGCTGGCCTCGAGATCCACTAACAGTCAACAAGTTCTACGTGCCAAACGTATGCACTGTCACGCCTAATTGATGCCCAACAGCAGGAGCATGCGGACACAGTTATTGCCTCGATCAAGATCGAATATGAAGTCAACTACCTGGTAACTGATGCATTGCACGGTCTACCGGTTACCGCAAAAGTTGTACGAACCGAAACGCTTCGGAAGTGCTCCGTTCTTCGAATTGGAGGAGGTTGTCCTCCTGCGAAGTACTTGGTCAGTGGGGCCGAACTCCCCCGTGTATCTAGCCAGGTTGACCTAGGCGTCGTACACTCTTCGGCTTTACACTCCGGCGACAACTGGAAGAAGGCCGCAAGCAGAGGTTTCCGCATGTTGTGGTTAATCCGACGTTCTTTCGGAGTCTTGACGGGCGGCATCTTTACGAGGCTGTTCTCGGCTTTCGTTCGGCCTCATCTGGAATACTGCGTCCAGGCTTGTCCGCCCTGCCTCGTCCGGGACAAAATGGAGCTAGAGAGGGTTTTACGAGTGGGTACTAGGTTAGTCGAGGGATTACGGGGACGGACGTACCCCGAGCGTCTACTTAGTTTGGGAATGTATTCGATGCACTACCGAAGGCTTAGAGGAGACCTAATCCTAACCTCCAGTATCTTAACTGGGAAGGTTGGTCCAGATTTATCTTGGCTATTCAGTCTCGCTAGATTGTCTGTTCTACGCGGTCATTCGTTGAAACTGGAGAAACCGCGGTCCGATCGGATTAGGGCGGAAATCCGGCTGTCACGCAGAGTCATCGACCGCTGAAACATGCTTCCGGAAAGTGTTATCAGGGAATGTACGGTTAAGGGGTTTGAGCGGCAAGTTGACGCTCTTGGGTGGCAACACGAAACCTTTCCATTTACCTGAGTAACTCACATCTTCGTACTTCGATTTTCTTTTCTCTACTTTTCTTCACGTATTGGTATTATTTTCTTATTTAAATGCACTTCCCTATTCTGTACCCTCGATTTCTCTTCCTATCCTTTGCTTACTTCACGTGACTGCCACAGCAGGGACTGCTAGGGCAGGAAACGTGGGCATTAACTGGTTGGCCATGGTGCGATACGGGTGTTTCCGTTTTAGATCCATCAATAACTGAGCACTTCATCAATTCCTGTCTCAACGATCCACTCAAGATGGAACACTCACCGGATTCTCCTATCGTTCCAGTCCCCATCTGAACTGAACTGAACTGAACCTAGTGTACGGGAGAAAGTAACAGTTGCGTTCAAAATTCAATATTTTAGCGATTAATCGATTATTAACGATTATCGCATCGAGTTCGAACGTTCCCGAATGTTCTACTTCTGCAAGTGATTAAAAACCACCTGACCCCTAGGCAAAAGATATGGGGAATCCCTAACCTTGGTAGCTGACCTTCCAATTTTAGAAGTCGAAGGTCAGTAAGGGACTTATAAATGCAGCCAAGGTCTGCATCAGTTCAAGTTCAAGTGGGACTGGAACGATAGGATGAATCCCGTAAGTGTTCCTTCTTGAGCGCGTCGTCGATCCAGGAGTTGATAGGGGTGCTCCGACTTCTTGATGGGTCTAAAACGAAAACACCCGAAAAACACCCTGGTCCACCAATTTAATGCCCACGTTCCTTACATTAGCTGTCCCAGCTATGTCAGTTACGTGAAGTAAGTAAGAGAGGAAGAAGAATCGAAGGTAAGAGAGCAGGGGAAATCAGTTAAAAGAAGAGAATAATACCAATGGCGAGAAAAAGTAAAGAAAATAGAATCGAAGTATGAAGATGGGAATTTGTCAGGAAAACGGAAAGGTTTCGTGTTGCCACCCAAGAGCATCTAGTTGACGCTCAAACCCCTTAACCGTAGCTTCCTTGACAACATTTTCTGGAAGCAGGTTCCAGCGCTCGATGACTCGACGCGATAACCGTGTCTCCGCTCTAACTCGATCGGACCGCGGTTTGTCCAGCTTCATACAATGCCCGCGAAGACCAGATAATCTAGCAGGACTAAATAGCATGGACAAATCAGGACCAACCTTCCCAGTCAAAATACGGTAGGTTAAGATTAGGTCACCTCTAATTCTTCGATAGTGCATTGACTGCATCCCCAAACCAAGTAGGCGTTCTGGGTACGTTTGCCCTCGTAATCCCTTGACCAACCTAGTACGGACACACAACACCCTTTCTAGTGCCATTTTGTCCCGGACAAGGCATGGTGGACAGGCCTGGGCGCAATATTCTAGGTGGGGTCGCACAAACGCTGAGGAGAGCTTCACAAACACACCAACCGTTAGGGTCCCGAAAGAACGACGGATAAACCACAACATCCGGAACCCTTTACTAACCGCCTTCTTCCAGTTGTCTCCAGAGTGTAATGTGGAACAGTGGACGACACCTAGATCAACCTGATGAGTCACGTGAGGAAGTACAGTCCCATCGAGCACATAACTTGTGAAGGAATCAGACGCTCCGATACGCAGCACTGAACACTTTGCCCGGTTTATAGGCAGCAACCACAAAACAGACCATTCCCAGAGTCTATCCAGAGCTCGTTGAAGAGCCATAGGACCTCCAGGGATATCAACAATATTCCAGAGCTTTAGGTCATTTGCAAATAAAAGCGATTGTACCTCAAGCTCCTCCGGCAAGTCATTCACGTAGACTGAGAACAGCAGCGGACCTAGGACAGAGCCTTGCGGAACGCCGCTAAGTACAGCCTGTCGAAACAAAAGACTGCTCCCACACGAATACACTGTTCCTGTCCAGCCAGAAAAGCTGACACCCACTGGAGAGCGCGACCAGCTATTCCATACGACCTCAACTTCAGTGAGAGTCGCGAATGGGGGACAGTGTCAAAGGCCTTGGCGAAGTCAATGAACACCACATCCACCGCAAGTCCACTGTCTACGGCTTCAGCCCAGCACTCACGAGCTAACAGCAAGTTCGTCTGGCACGAAAATCCTTTGCGAAAACCATATTGCTCGACGCTAAGCAGGTTAAACCTATTTAAATGGTTCTCCACTGTATCTCGTACTATTTTTTCAAGTAACTTAACGACCACGCTAGTCAAGCTGACAGGCCTGTAATTAGCCGGTAGGTCTTTGTCACCGCACTTGAAAATCGGGTAGACAACAGCCTCCTTCCATTCGGTAGGCAAGATACAGCTGTTGAGTGACTTCTGAAACACACAAGTCAGAGGTCCACTGAGTTCCCCTGCCAATTCGTGCAACAATTTTGGATGAACAGTTGTACCGTGTTCGTTGGCAGCGATTAATACCTTATGTTGTCAAGGTTATTAGCCTTTTGCTTTTTCCTTCGGTTGGGCTAGAAGCTTTGTGGAGCAGTGAATTGTTATTTTGGGGATTGCGTCCTGAGATTATTATAACAAATGGCGACGGGGAAAATTGGAAATGTGATGAATTTTTCTGCGGAACATTTGCAAAAGCTGCTTTCCCAAAAGCAAGCTTAAATGGAGGCACAAATGAAAATGATTGAAAATCTAGCACAATGCTTGGGTTTGCAGACAACATGAGCAGCGACGCGGGACATACAGGCGAGTTCTGTTGATCTTCTCACGAACGCGATCACTGAATTCAAATACGACTGGGATTCTGGATACACCTTCGAAACATGGTTCGAGCGCTGGAATGATATATTCCAGACGGACTTCATTCCTCAGGATGACTCCTGGAAGTTGCGGTTGCTACTCCGCAAGCTCGGAATAAGCGAACCCTCAAGGTTCGTGGACCACATTTTGTCATCATTACACGTTAGCTGGAGGTGGAAAACACCTCAGCTATTGTGCCGCAATACAAAAGGCAAGAAAAGAAAATACGAACAAACAAACAGTGGCACGCCCGCTGAGTCCCCAATAACGGATGGACATCGTTCCGGAGAGCTAACAGCTGGCTGCCGTAAAAGAAAGTCATATTATGCCTAACAATTGAGATCGTGATTGGAGAGGGATGCTAAACAGGAGGGGGATGGACAAAGGAACTCACAACACAAACGCCATTGGGGCCGGCTCCTAGCCATATCAGCAAGTGTGTCCAACCAAACGTGTTCACCGTCCTTAGGACCCCAGCCAGGCAGTCGGGATGCACCAACCGACGCCAACTTCGAAGCGAGGGCTTTCATTTCTCTCGACCAAGTCATCGCTTGGCCTCCCCTCCTCCTCTTCCAACCGCACCCACAGCGCGCAAACAATGCACGTCGTGGGAGTCGGTGTGCTGGCATGCGCAACACGTGGCCCAGCCATCGGAGCCTGGTGCGTGATATAATCGTGCTGAGCGGTTCACTCGCTCTTCCTGCACCAAATACGCGACGCCGAACACGCTTATTGCTCACGAGGTGTTCCCACTAGACATGAGCTAAGCTGCGAAGGCAGCGATGATCGAATGTGACGAGTCTCTTCATGTCTGTCGACCTGATGGGCCAGGTTTCACAGCCATATAGGAGAGTTGAACGGACGGCTGCGTTGTAAACTCTGCCCTTCAGGGCGAGAGTAATGTCGCGTCTGCGCCACAGGTGGCGGAGATTGGCAAAAGTACCTCGAGCTTTTGCTATACGGTTCGTAACCACATCTTCAATCCCACGGGTGCTAATATAGCTGCCCAGGTACTTAAATTCCTGAACGACTTCTAACAGATCACCACCAAGCGTTAGCGCAGGGTTGGGTCCCTGCCAATCTTGGAGAAGTACTTCACATTTCGATGGAGCAAAGCATAGCCCAAAACGATTGACAGCCAGTGCTAATCGGTCCAGTGCTGTTTGGCATGTTTGGGAGATGTCACAGATTAGGGTAATATCGTCTGCATACTCTAAGTCAAGAAGTCGCTCACCAGGGAGTAGCTCCACACCTTATAGGTCGTGTCCAGCGAACGCTGTTTCTATGACTTCATCAACAGCGAAGTTGAAGAGGAAAGGTGACAGCGGGCATCCTTGTCTCACACCGCTGGTGATACTGAAGGGTGGCGACAGTTTGTCATAAACCCTCACCCTGCCCGAACTATGTGCGTGCAGCGCTTTGATAATGTCTACATATTTATCAGGCACACCTTTCCTCAGCAGACAGTCCCAAAGGGCACATCGATCGACTGAGTCGAAGGCACCTTTGATGTCAAGAAACACGACAACGGTGAGTCGCCAATAAACATGGCGGTGCTCCAACACTTGACGCAATGTGAAGATGTGGTCGATGCAGCCCCGACCTCGACGAAATCCGGCTTGCTCTTCACGAATTTGACTTTCACGAGTGCCAGTCAGTCTGTGGAGAATGACAGAGGCAAGCAATTTAGAGGCAATCGAAATCAGACTGATCCCTCTATGATTGCCACATTCTAAACGGGAGCCTCCCTTGAAAATTGGGACAATGACGGAGCGGTTCCAGTCTGTCGGGACTGTCTCCTGCTCCCAAAGTTTTACTAGCAACTCGTGCAGATCATCTACTAGAGCAGGTCCTCCAAATTTGAAGAGGGCTGGAGGAATTCTATCTGCTCCTGCGGCCTTATGTAAATTCAACAGCTTGATCTCACGTTCGACTTCTGCGCGTGAGGGCGGATCCAAGGAGACGGCCCAAGGAGAAGGGCGCTCAATGCCCGAAGAAAGCGATAACTCAGGTTGGTTAAATTGCATAGCAAAGTGTTCAGCCCAACGCTCCAAGCGTTTTGACAGGCTGCGGATCGGCTGCCCACTCTCCTCGCGTATGGTCTCGCTAACACCAGGTCTCCTGCTACCTGCTTCCCGTATCAGCCGGTATAGCTTACGATGGTTACCAATGGCAGCGGCTGTTTCCATCTCAGAGGCACGATGAGACCACCAGGTTTCGCGGTCCTTCTTTAGGCTAGCACGTAGTCTCTCCCTGTGATTTTTGCGAGCTTCATTGTAATCGCTTCCAGCCGGAATACGTCGGCGAGCATCCATAAGTTCCAAAGACTGTGTAGAGACCCAATGTTCGGATTTGCAATTTGTTTTGCCACATGAAGACATGCCTGCTAATAGCAACGCTTGACGAGTATGCGACCAGTGATCTTCAACGGTGTTTAGTGGGCACTTACTCAACCCAGATGTCAGCGCATCTTGGTACACATTCAGAACATCTGGCTTCGCCAGCTGACTGGTGTCAATCCGTTCACATCGACGTCGCGGACGTCCACCGAAACGCACCAGGAGGTCGGCACAGACAAGTGCGTGGTCAGAGTCCACGCTCGTGCTCCAAATCGAGCTACAGTTTTGGACACAGCCTCTCCAGCGGTAACTGATCGCGAAATGATCGATTTGTGTCCATGACTGGCCCGAGGCTGGTGGCCGCCAAGTCACACTTCTGCGGGTGCTGTGTCGAAAATTAGTGCTCGCGAGAAAGAGGCGAGCATCTTCACACAGCTGGAGCAATCGCTCACCGTTATCATTACGGGAGCCTACACCATGTTGGTCGCCCAGATGAAGCTCATCAGAGGACAATTTTCCGACTTGGGCGTTTAGATCGCCAGCTAACATCACAGTATCCGTGCTTCTTCTGTAACGAAGGAGCTCGTGAAGTTGCTGATAGAAATCATCTTTTACCGAATCAGTGCTACAGTTTGTAGGGGCGTAGGCCGCAATGACAAACAGGCACCGTTTGTCCCCGCGCGACTTCGGAGCACGGAACGAACCAGCTACTCTAACGGCGCACATGCGACTGTTGACGGGGATCCAATCAATCAGAGCAGCTTCAGCCCGGGGACTCAAAACAATGCCGACGCCAGCTTGACCGGCATTTAAAGCTGCATCATCGCCAGATAGGCGCAATGAGAATGTGTCGCCAGTGTCGCATGTGGGGGATCTCAGGGTAAGCACGGAGCTCGAACCTTGCAGACAGGTTTCTGATAAACAGCAAATATCGATTGATAAGGTCTCTAGTGTGCGGGCAAATGCTGCCTGTTGGCCAATCTGCAGCAAAGTGCGCACCTTGAGGCATGCCAATCTTAGCGGGACACGAGGACTTCAAAGGGAAACGGATGAACTGACGTTGTCCGCTTGGTTGAACATGGACTTGTCGACTGGATTGGAGCGAGACCTTGCGATTGTGTGTGATTTGAAATTAGAAGACAAGCGACTATTGAAGTAAGCTGGGGGAGGGCCAAGAATTGAGGGATTGAAAATGGGGGGGATATAAGTAAAGTTGGAGCGGGACAATAAGGATGCAGAAGCGGAAGAAGGGGTATAAGAAGACGGGAAGGCCTGAGCAGTAGCATCCATACCCCTATCCACCCTGCCCGATGCAGCAGATAGGGCGCCGTTTATTATCCTCTGCGACGGCCAGAGCATCAAGAAACTGTTGTAGGAAAGGTTCATTGTATTGCGTGGGCAGAATAGTGTCAGGTTGCCCAGGCCTAGACAGGAGAACGATTAGGGTTCTCACATTTTGTCCAAACAGCCGAAGGATCTGACTTTTGACGAAATAGTGTAGCAGCTGAAGGAAAGTTTTGGTGCGTCGGTATCCTTGTTTATTATTCGCTATCAATGCCTGAAAATTGTCAACCAGGCATCTGACGACCTTGGGGCCTTAGCAGACATGATTAACCGTGAGTGCGAACGTTTCAACCTACGCTCTTTAACAGACGATCAGTTTGTCTCATTTTCGTCAGCGCTCTACAATCGCCCAGTGATGCTGAGATCTGTACGCGGCTTTTAGCTAAGCTCCAGCAGGATCCTGCTCTGACACTGAAGATCCTCGTAAGCGAATGTAAACGGCTTCGCACTCTAAAACACGACACTGCCATGGTCGAACGCAATGGTAGCGCACCAACAGATACCGTGCAACTCGTGAAAAAGGCCAGGACGGCAACCGAAGCAAAACCTTCAAGAGGCCGTTTAACAAACCGCCCACAGCACGCTGGTTCTGCGGCGATTGAATTTCGTGCGCTTTTGTCTCTTCAAACATCATAGTTGTCAAAGGTGCCATAAGCGTGAGCATAAAGTGAGCAGTGTTATAAATTGTATTTGATCACGCTTTTACAGGTGTTTCCTTTTACCCAGAATATACCATTTATTTATTTATTTAGGTATTTATGGAGGAATGCTGCAGTCAGGTCCGCTCGAAGCACGCGAAGACGTCTTATCGGAAGGGGAAAGCTAGCAAGGTGGGCGCGGAATCTCTGCCCATAGTTGCCCCATGCCAAAGCGAGTGTAAACCGAGGCGACGATTTATCAATGTGTTGAGCAATGGGATCCCAACCAAACTACAGGTTAACACGGCCGCGGACATCAGGAGTATTTCCAGGTGCATATGGAATCACATAAAGAGGCCGAAGATGGTCGAGCCTCAGAAAGTTGCACATAATGCCTCCGGCAGTGTGTTAAACTTAGGGGGCGAACTCAATTGCAAGATTGCATTCCAAGGTTTGGAAAAGTCAGGAACATGCTGCATTTCAGACCCGGCGAATTTGAATCTGCTTGGCCTGGACTAGATTGAATAATTGCATCTCCTCGATGTTCCCTTGAATCAGATCTGCAACCCAGTTCGAGCAATTCCAGACCCATCAGCAAAGTCCGTCGAAGACATGACACGTACCCTGAAGCGAAAATTTGTTTCTGTCTTTCAGGATGGCTTGGGCCATTGTACGAAATTCAAGGAAACACTGAACTTGCGACCAGGTGCTAAACCAGTGTGCAAGGCTAAAAGACCGGTAGCATATTCAACCATGTCAACCGTTGATCAAGGAATAGATCGACTGGAACGTGCCCGAGTCATCATAGGCTTAAACTACTCATCATGGGCCGCACCTATTGTTGCAGTGAAGAAAGCAAATGGCAAGGTACGCGTCTGCGCTGACTTCTCAACTGGCCTCAACGCCGCGCTGGACGACCACCAGTACCTATTACCTGTACCGCCTGGCAAGCGTTCTTCCAATAAAAAGCCACAAATATCCGCTTAACAACTCTGCAACGTGGCGGATGTGACTCGCCCCAAAATAAAGTCATAGCTAAACCTTTCACACTGACGCAGTCCGCAGCCTTCATCCAACCGGTGCAACTGATTTTCCTATGAAGAATGCTTTGATGGAGCACAGATCATTCCGATTTCGTAATGGTCATTGATTGCACCGAAACCATTTTTGAGCTCCTGTGCTCATGGAGCACTACACGGCGAAATTACCCCCAAATTGTATCTTGACGCAACAGTTATGACTGAATTTCCGCGCCACAGCGCCATCATGTTCCTTGGACTGCCTATTACTTGACAATATGCTCACTCGTATGGACTACATCTTTTCGTTTATACCTTACATTAAAGCGAAATGTTTTAACATTCCAAAGAAGCTATGATTGTATGCATATTTGATCGCGCCTTTACAAGTGCGTCTCGTTTTATCCAAAATATACCATTTATTTACTTATAGCTTTGTAAAGCTGAATGGTGGTAAGTAATTCGCTAAGCTTGATCTATCCGATGCGTATATTCAAGTGGATGTTGACGAAGTCTCGAGGGAGTTGTTGAAGTTCAACACTCATCGCGGGCTATGCCAATACAACCGCTAGCAATTTGGTGTAAAAACGGCGCCAGCCATCTTCCAACAGTTGATAGATACCACGCTAACGGGCGTTACTGGAACCGCTGCATATCTGGATGATAATACAGTGATGGGTCAAACGCCAGAAAACTATTCAACCGCCTGCATGAAGTGCTTGGTTGTATACAGTCGTACGGTTTCCGGATCCGTGAGGATAAATGTACCTTTTTCACGCCGATCATCAAATACCTCGAAAAGGACGGACGTCGAACAGAGCAGGAAAAAATAGAAGCCCTTAGAGAAATGCCTCCGCCAATAGACCTACAATTCTTGCGTTCCTTTTGTGGTCTTAGCAGCCACTACAGCGCTTGCTGATGTATTCTGTGACACCGTAGGAAGCCACTAGTGACTAAACTGCCTAACGGAACGGTGACCTCTGGCCACCGAAAGTTTTTCATAGCGCCATTATCCGTCGATCCTCTCAACCTCAGCACCTCTATTTAGCAGCAACTAGTGGTCGTAGGTTCCAAGCATCTCTGAGCATATCCAAAGCTTGCTAAGAGCCGCACTCTTTTATCTCCAACCTTCATCCTTTGCGACTGTCTGCGTCACATACATTTGCTGTCTGTTGACTTATTCTGGGGCACTCTAGCTATCCAACAGCCACTAGTAGGCTTCACCCCAATGCCATTGCTAGCCGTCGATATCCTCTCTCCCTTAGTACCATTATCAGTTCTTCGTACCACCTATGTCACCTCTCTTCAGCTGCACTGAGTCATTGTAGTTTTCCTACCTCTTTGCGCTAGGAGCCACCCACTACCTCTCCAACACTTACTCTCTTAAGTTGTTAACATCACATACCTTCGCCAGTTGGTTGACTGCTGACACTGTAACTATCCACTAATAACTAGAAGGCTTAAGGCGAATTCAGTTACTGTCCACTGGTTCTCTCTCTTCGCACCACTATCCTTCGTTCCTCTTATCTTCATCACGCCTTCCACAGTGATTCGTTGTAGGCCCCATACAGCTTTATGCATATCCGGACCTACTAGGAGACATTCCTTGTTCCTCCATCCTGTAAGCTTTAAGAATGTCTGTATCACTTACCTTCGCTGGCTTGCTGAGGTATTCTGTGACACTGTAGGAATCCACTAGAGATCAATCTGCTTATCGCAATGGTTACATCTCACCACCAAAAGATTTTCATAGCGCCACCATCTATCGATCTTATTAACCTAAGCATCTCTATTCAGTAACAACTAGTGGTCGTGGGCTCCAAGCATCTCCGGAGCTTGCTCAGAACCACACTCTCTATCTCCAACCTTCATCCTTTGGGACTGCCTCCGTCTAATACATTTGCTCTGTTGACTTATTCTGGAACACTTTGTTATCCACTAGCCACTAGTAGGCTTCACCACAATGCCACTGCCA